TAGTCATAATGACTCTTCCAACTACAGTATTAATTTTCTTGGTCCAACTTAATAATAAATTTGATGCGAAAAAAATTTTTCTATTCTTAGTCTATGGAGAGATATTGTTGTAAACTTTTGGTTGTTATAGCTTTTTGTACCTTTCTTTTTTAACTCTGGTTAGTTTTTTCTAGTTTGAATGACATTAGGTTGACGAATAAGCATCTTTTCAGAAGAGATTGATTCAAATTTGACAATACCAATCAGAATCTAGAATGTAAACAAATCATAAAAAATCGTTATTTTCATAGTTTTTCAGCGCTATTTTCATTCATTTTTGTTATTTGACGCTATTTAGACGAATAAGCAAGTTTTTTGAAGCATAAAATTGAAGATTTTCCGCCAAAATAGAAACTTCCTGATAACATCGGAAATGACGTTCTAACATCATTTTATTTTATTTGATTCTTCAAAAAATTGTTATAATACTGTGTATTAGACTTAGAATATTTGATATCTAAACCAGAAAGTGTTAGCTAGAAATAGACTTATTTATAGAACACCCCCCCATTTCTCACTTCATGGAGTTATAAAACAGTTGGGTGCTAATGACTTTGTGAAAGGGAAAAGTTCTACACTTAGAAACTTCGAAAGAAGGGATTTGGCCTGTACCGTCCGCGGGCCGCATAAACATTGATAAGGGGCCATATGTGACCCGCGGGCCGCAGGTTGTGCACCCCTGAATAAATGATTACATTTTAGCCACCACAAAGTTGTTAAGATAATAAATGACTTCAAATTCAAGAATACTGAATATCTTCCCACATTTTAAAGTGGTTGGCAAATTGCCTTTGTAATAAGACCTTTGAACTTTCAACAATAGCATTAATGTAGTGAACTGTTTTAAGTTTTTTTATTACTACTATACTATCGTTCTTGTTCAATGAATGAATAACTTGGGATAAGTTTATGGTTTCTTGGTACCATACTTAATCCAACAATAACACAGAAGTTAATATTAATAAAGAACATGAATATATATGAGAATAATTGGTGATTGACAACTTAACCAGATTGGTCTTCTCTAACAGATAAAGTATTATTAAAATTTTTTTAACATGTTCTCCTTACCATTTTTATTTCCAGCCAGTCTTTATTCAACACTTAGTCAAAATTTGTTATTTGAAAGAGTATTTGAACTGATTCTTTATTTTCATTTTAAAATATTTTATACATAATTACAGTTTAACCCAATTATAATGTCATCGCATGTAACAACAACCCTAATATAATGTCAAATTTCTATCGGTTCCATGATTTTACTATAGTTTATACAACCGGCTTTCATGTGCGCTTTATAGATATCTATAAAGCACACATGAAAACCTGTTGTATAAACCATAGACGCATGCTGACTCATTGTCTACTGTGTGGAGGTCCTTTTACAATTACTATTTTATTAGATTTTACTATACTAGATAATATTAAAAACCACTTGTAACGATATAAAACCCTGTTTTAACATCATATTTAAAGCATTCCCAGATTTACAAAATTAGATTATGAATTTTATTTAAGAAAGAAAATACAGTACATGTACTACATGTTTAGTTTCTAGGGTCAGAGTCCACTTCCTAGAATGTCACCACCTGACTTCAGTGGGGTGAGGTTTGTCACATCTTTAAACGAAGTGACAATCGGGTTAGTTCGCATAGTTACTTGTTGTCATGATGATATCGTGTAATGACATGAATGATGTCTGAGAGATTTGAAGAAATTCAAAAATGGGATAGAGAACTTATTGGTAAACAAAAAAGTTTTACTCCTTGTCGATAATTGCCCAACACTTCAATATTAGAAAATTTAAAGAGCATTAAACTTGTATTCCTTCCTCCGAATTGTACTAGCATACTTCAGCAAATGGATCAAGGAATTATAAGAAGCCTTAAATCTCATTTCAGAAAATTTTTTTACAAAAATTTATTACAGATATGGAAAATAACAATAAAATGGCAATTTCTTTATTAGATGCAGTTGATTTTTTGGAAAAATGTTGATGTAGGGTTAGTTCGCTAATAATAGCAAACTGTTTTCACCATGCAAAATTGTGTAATAGTGAAACAGCTATTACATTTTAATTCTTGAAGTTAGACTGTTTACAAAAACATATTAATATTTTTGAGTCTATCATTAAATCCTTTTACACAAACCACAGAAGACACAGTTATATTGGTTAGAAGATAAAACTTCTTTAAATTAATATGTTTTTGTAAATAGTCTAACTTCAAGAATTAAAATATTGAAGAATATCCTGAGTTAACATTGAACATTGTGAACTTATGCAAATGAAGATGATGGACTCGTAACTACCACTAGACGGATGAACCAGTTATAAAATTTGGAAAAGGACTTGATGGTTGGTGAGAAGATTCTTAAGTTTTTAATGTAAAAAATGTCAGATCCTACAATAAAAGGCTGGCGTTTGATCATTTTTAAACATGTGAATTTTTACCTTTTATTATTTGTCTTTTAAAGAAGTTTTATCTTCTAACCAATATAACTGTGTCTTCTGTGGTTTGTGTAAAAGGATTTAATGATAGACTCGAAAATATTAATATGTTTTTGTAAATAGTCTAACTTCAAGAATTAAAATATTGAAGAATATCCTGAATTAACATTGAACATTGTGAGCTATTACATTTATGAATGATGACAATAATGAGGATGATGACATTCCTCTGTCAGAATTAATTAAAACACTTCAAAGTTCAGAAAACAGTGAATTTTTGTTTTCTGCTGCTACTGAATATGAGAGTGTAGATGAAGATTTAATAACATCCGAATTTTATACAAATGCAGATATTGTTCAGACAAAAAAAATGATAATGAAGATGAAACATCAGACAGAGAAAATGTAGTGCTGTCACCAGGAAAGCATGTAATGCAATAAGATTATTGAAAATGTTTACAGGTCTCTGAAAACTTCATTGGAAATAATGAACAAAGTTTATGATTTAGAAAATGACATTGATAAACAAGTTTTAGGTGAAAAATGCCTACAATCTAAAATAATAACCGACTTTTTTTTAAAATATTGTTATTGTATCTTTTTAATTAGCATACATTAATTTAACCTTTTGTTGCCTTTTGATTCAATGTTATTCTCAAAACCAGAAGTGTTGCCATTATTGAAACTTGAGACAAATAAAAATTTCTTATAAAAGGTAATTTTTGAAATTTTTAATTACATCATTGTAAACTTAGACATAATAATGTAAATAAAGTAGATTTAAACATTTAGTTTGCACTTTTATAATACAATATACTGTATTACCATTAAGAAATACAGTATTTTATGGTAATACATATGATGTTAAATTAGAATGGATTTTATAATAGATCCTTAAACACATGTGGTACTTTTTATGAGACTGAAATTATGATGCTGTAGATAACGACACTTAGCTATAATGTCAAAAAATTGCCAGTCCCATGGATGACGTTATAATCGAGTTAAACTGTAATTGTTTCAGAATATTGAATGCAATACATTGTGTTTTTGTAAGGTTGGTTATGGATGACTGCATCCATTAAAGGTAAATTTAATAGATATGCTATTTGAAGGGACTGGGGATTGTAAAAATGTCTGTTAAATAGAGGTGTCTGCTATTCAGGAGTGTTCCTTAATGATTTCACTGTACATAGTAATATAGTATTTAGAAATGGTGTTTTTATTACAGAAATAAAAACCAGAAAGATGACAACAGATATCACTATGTTTTGCAACAGGATAAACACAAACAGAACAAGGAATCATTTTTCTTATTGCTTTTCTCCATTACAAATAAAAAAATTAACATGCACAGTAAATGTTGTGTGTGTATTTGCATGAATCAGATGGGACATGAACTAGGAAAAAAATAAATTAGTCAAAGCAAGTACTAACTGCATTAAGCCTAAAACTATTTATCTAGTTAGGTCAATTTTATCTTGTTTTATGTTGAAGACGTGGCTGCAAGGATGCAAACAAGGATGTTTTCTTGTAGCCACCTCTTCTGGAACACTGTGCAACTGTGCAAATCTTTTTAAACTATTTCTGCTGTGAATGCTAAGATAGCCTTTTAAATCATATCTATTATGGGTTTGGTTATGCCCACCTTGGGTAACTGAGTTGAGGGATAGAACACTAAATATGTTGAATAACCCACTCATGAAAAACTGAAGTTTCTGATCTCAAACCTGGGTCCTTCAGGATGGCAAGTTCATGCCTTTACTGCCTCAGCCATCCTGTCATTGCCACATAAGATATGTATTCAAAAGATAGTAGTAACTTGTCATCATCTCTGGTTTTTATTTCTCTTGTTAAATTTTTCAGATGGCTGAAAAGGTACTTTTCTGAAAAATTGTTTGCCTCCAAAAACAATTTGATTTGTTTAACCTTTGTTAACAAAACTCTTTGAATGCAAATTCAATTCAGAATTTACATTTTGAAGAACTTTAAATGTAAAAATTTCTATCTTGCAATTAGATTATTTGAATTGAGACTGAATTATTGTATTAAGACATTTATTATAGTTTTCAAATAAATATTAATGGCAATGATGATGTACAGTACAATTGTATATTATAATTACCATGAAAAAATATGCAAATAGAAATTATTAGTAAAATGGTCATGTGACTGAAATTTTAAGAATATTTTTGACACACAATATTTATAGGACTGAGTTAAAATTTCAAGCATTTTTTTGTAAATTTACTGGAATATCTAAAATTTAAATACAGTAAATAGTTCATTGTAATTTTTATTTATTGCTTATAAGCACATTATGTATTGATAGTATATAAGATTCAGCTTTTCTATTTTAAACAAAAATAAAAGAATTATATTGTTGATTTTCTATATTTTATTGGAAATTTTTTTAAAACTTTTTACGGCAGATGTTTTGATAAGATATTACTGTTTACAAAATACAAATTTCTTTTTACTAAAAAATTTCATGTATTTTTTTTTTCTTTAGCCTGGTGTGCCTATGGAAATTGCTTTGAATCAGTAAGTATTAATTAGAACTAAATTTGTTTATAAAAAACTATAATTATATTTAATAAATAAATATATAACTAATATAATAAATAAATGTATATTTAATATGTATATACAGTGGGTGATCGGTTAACGAACACAATCCGTTCCAAGACTTTGTTCGCTACCTAAATTGTTCATTAACTGATTATTGATTTACCATAGGTTTTTATGGGAATTTCATTCATTTGTTCTGGACACTCCAAAAAATAAAAAAATATATATTTTCTTACTACATTTATTTATATGTAATAGTAAAAATACATATTTAATACAGTCTTGTGTTTGTGGGGAAAATTTAATTAAAGAAATTAAAAATAAAAGAAATTAAAATTAAAGAAATCTGTCCAATGTTGATTGCTTTTTCTCTCTTCAGGATTTTTCAGAAGTCATTGTAATTGTAGAGCTCCACAAGCTTATCATCCTCATTCTGGTTTGGATACCATTTGGATGACTGTTCTGATATCCTCCCACTTCTTCAAAAGTGGGAGGATGTCAGAACAACAATCAGAACTTCTTCAATCTTTAATATTAATTGCAGATGTCAGCATTGATCCTCTTTTGTCTTCCTCTTTTTCAGAAGAAAACACATCTTGCTGAGTTTCTTGGTGTTCTTCATTTAAGAGTTCTTGAAGTTCTGTCATCACATCAGTTTCAGGTTCCATTATGAGCTCTTCAATGCTCTTTATTTCTCAGATGTAATTTTCTTTACTCGTTTATCTGCTTGAGACTTCTTGCTATATCTTTCTTAGCTAAGATTGGGCTTACTGTAGACCTGTTCAAGCCATACTGCCTAGCAACATCAGACATCTTGTGTCCACTCTACCTTGGCTATTATTTCTTGCTTGGTTTCTATGGTGAGCATAGTTCTTGAAATTCCACTCTGTATTTAACGCCTCATAGTCTGAAGTTTTGGAAGAAGTTTTGATTGAAATTCCACTATTTTTAGGCTACATAATATTATCAGTTTCTTTTTTAAATAAAAATTCCAGCAAAGGACTTACAAAAATTCAGAGAACAAAAATCAACTAGTGCACAAAAAAATTATGTAAATGTGAGGCCCAGGTGAAATTCAAAATTTGGTATTAAAATGTTAACAAGTATTCGATGGGACAGTTAAACTCTCACCTTTCGTAAATTAAAATTGACACAAAACTTAACGAGTACCTGCCTGACAGTCTTGCGAGACTATAAAAAATTTTGTCAGAAAGGTAAACAAAAGGCTGAAATTACAAGGGAGAGTTTCAAAATTCAGAGGAATACTATTTGATTGGTATCGGGTTGACATCTTCAGAGCTCTGAAAGATTTCAAATTGTCACCTGAAGACCAATCAATATTCACTATTTTACATTGCTTCTTTTTGTGTTTGTCTGAACATAAAAATCTTTTGCGAAAGTGTTTGTTATCCGATTTGCTTTTGTCGCAGACTGACCAAATGTTAACTGATTACCCACTGTATGTATGTATGTATGTATGTATGTATATATATACAGTCTGTATCAGACTCTTGAGGGACAGAACAACTCTTCCTTAGTAGACAGGTTTCCACTATATACAGGTTGCCTACTATAGGTATCCCTTAATGCAATTAATAAATTTCTTGATGTGTATCGTGTATATCAAAATCTCATTAATCAAATACAATGGAATCTTGGTTGACACAAAAATTGAGCAATCATCACCCATTAGAATAAATTTTCAGTTAATAACAAATATTTTTATTTTAACTTTAAATTTTTCATTCATCCATAAAAAGTTCTCAAAGATAAAGATGAATAACTAGTTGAAAAATAAAATAAAACTTTATAGCTGCCTGCCTTCATTAGGCAAAATTATACTCAATTCACTTTGTTTTCTTCATAAGTTGGGGGGAAACTTGCATGTTGTGAACACAATCATCAACATGTTTTACAACTGTTTCAAGTGGATGAAGTGTTTCAACAATATGCATCTGTGACACAGTGATTTGTTGCAAATTCACAAATTTAATTTGTCAATCTTTAACAATTTCTTCCCTCAATTTCTTTTCAATAGCTTCTGAAGGCCTATAGATTTTGTATCTTTTAGTTCAAAACCTTGATTTCAAAGAAAAATTTGAAGAATTTGTGATTTTTTTTAGTTAATAAATTTTATGAAAAATTTTTATGATCGAATACTTAAATACATTTCTCAAAAAAAAAAAAATTTGTTTTTGAAGCCCACTTTTTTACTTACATTTTTCTGTTTATAGAATAGTTAATATACATAATTATTAATGGATCCCAAATGTTGGTTTAGGAAATAGAATTGTTGTGTTTTTCCCTTGCATAGGCTGTGAAATCTTTTTCCACAGTCCATCAAGTCCAACTGCATTTACTACAGACAGTCTGAACCATTTTGATAACACAGACTGTACAGACTGTATGTTATGAAGTATGTCAGAAAATAAAGTACGGCACTATTTGCCATTCTGATTATCCACATGAGCACTGACAAATGTCATTACAATCAGTGTGAACATTTACTTTATGGGTATACCATTTATCACCAGTTCACATTATGCCAGTTGCTGATTTATTTTGCCAGAGTGATAAAAATACAGTAGAACCCCTCTAGTCTGCCCTCGGCTAGTCCGTCACTCCAGTTAATCCGACCATGGTTGGAGTCGAGAAACTTGTCCCAACTCGTCGGTGACTCACTGTTTGTGGCGTTTTTCTGTGTTCGTTACAGTATATGTTTTACATTGTGTGTACATGTACAGTTTTGTGTGTGTTTTCAACATGTCAGGAGTGAAATGTAAACACGTTACTCTTTCATTAAATGAAGAAAAATTAGCAATGCTACAAAGACTGGACAAAGGGGAAGATTGTTTATTTTAGTTTTTTCTGATAATCCGACCTTTTTTGCATTTCGACCATACCCCCAGTCTCAAAGGTGACGGATTAGAGAGGTTCTACTCTATTCCCATATAGTAAAATGTGCACTGTGTAGAAGAAGACCTGCTTTATTTGTTACTTTATTTGTCATTGTAAGGATGTTTTTGGTAATTACTAATGAAGTTTTTCAATTGAAAATATTTGTTAATTGTAATGACTTTATTAAGTTGAAGTAGTACGCATTTTGCAATTCCATCAAACACCTTTATTATGTGTGATTCAGCTTTTTGTATTTCTGAAGATAACATAGATCATTTTTCTCAATTAGAGAGATATAAATTTATATTTTAATGTTTTTATTTCATGATTATATTTTTTTTCTAAATTCATTTAACAGTATTTAATTCTTAAGACATTAATTTTTATTTAGTGAATCTCAGAGGAAAACACCTGTCATAGTGGCTTTTAGAGATAATGAACGTTATTTGGGAGAAAGTGCATCAACTATTGTAAGTAAAATGTATTATTCAGTTTTACTGTATTCCTTAATAAATAAAATTTTAAAAACAATATTTTCCATATTTATAAGTTAAATAATTAAGTTGCTGTTAGTTGAGTTTTTTGGAGGGTAATTATTATTTGATCACAAGGAAAGTATAAAATGTACTATTTTGTTATAAATTTCAATTATTAGGTAGTATTTATAACAAAATATGAAGATTTGCTAATATTAGAATGCCTTATTAATGTTTGTATATAATTAAAATTTTTTTTTGCTAATGATATTGTTCAATTTTAATTTTAAGGCTGTCAGAAAAAGTTACCATTTATTCACTTTTTCACTATTCTGGAATATGGTTTTTATAGGCTACTTTGGCCACCTAAATTTAAAAAATTTTATTTAAATTTTTAAAGTAAATTCTTTAAAAGAAAATTTTTAAAATTTAGGTGGCCAAAGTAGTCTATAAAGTTGTCAGTTGTCAAAAGCTGTATTCTAGAACAGTGAAAGTGAATAAATAGTACTGTTTTTCTGATTCAATTTTGTTTTTGTTTATTTTACATTAGTTACTACATATTGAGAGAGTTTTTCTTATCTTCAACAAATTTAATTAAAAAAAGTTATTGTATTATTGTGCCTTGTCACTGCAACCAATGCTTTCTGTTCACTGCAGTTGTTTTTAATTCATAAGTTTGGAACCCTATAGAAGCATTGACCTTTTCCAGATATTTTTTTCCTTGATTTTCTTCTTTCTTTCTGAGAATTTTGCCTTCAAGAATAACATTTAGGAAATTATTGTGCCTAATAATATGACCTATAAAGGTAATTTTTCTTTTCCCTATTTCCTGTATTAACTTCCTTTGTTCTTCCACTTCCCTCAAATTGCTTCATTTGTTTTCTATTCAGTCCAGCTTGTTTTGTTTACTCTCCTCCATATCCACATTTTAGCTGCCTCCAGATAGGTCATTTCTAACTTTTCTTGTGTCCAGCATTCATTTCCATAAGTAAGTGGGCTGTCTTGTCTTATACCATTTTTTATCTTTGCTTCTCTCTTCACCCCCATTGATATTTATATATGTATGCTGGTTCTTGTATAATTGGTAAATTATCCTTTTATTCCTTTAATATAAGATTGTTTTACTTTTATAACCACTTAAAAGAGGTTTTTGGGCGAATAAACTGAAATGTTATATCCTTTGAGTCTAATATTCACCCAAGTTCAAGAGTTTCTCAAAAGACAATTAATTCTTTCAGATATTAAATAAAATATCTGAGAATTAATTGTCTTTTTGAAGGACATAACTTTTCAGTTTATTCATCAAAAAATTTCTTATAAGTGGTTATAAAAGTGAATGATTATATTTGGCAAATATTGCTAATTTTAACTTTGTATTAAGATAGCCTTCTTCGTAGTTTTAAACAGCAGATCTCATTTCACTGTATCAAATGCCTTCTCTAGATCTATGAATATGAGATATACTTTTCTGTTTGTTTTTAAGCTTCTTTTTAGAATTATTTGCAGTGCAAAGTTAGCTTTTCTTGTACCTTTACTTGCCTGGAAGCTGAACTGATCTTCTTCCAAGTAATCATCTATTTTACATTGTATTATGCCTTTTACTGTGTGTAGTTGCATTTTTGAGATGTGTGATAACTTCAAATCTCCAAACTGTTAATCAGCTAAGTTTACTTTGACATTTCAATTCCCAAAAATAATGTATAAAAAAGTTATTTATCCTGAATTCAAATTATAAATTTAAATATTAAAATAGTAAATCAACATCTGTTGTTTTTGTTATTTAAATTAATTCCTGGTAAGTTTTTAAGTTTAGTATGAAATTCTTATCTCTGTCTGTTTATACAGGATGCTTAAAAACTATAAATTAAAAATTATCAAATTGCTTTTCTCAAAATGCTTGAGATAAATATAGGGCTTTGCCCATACCACCTGCTTTACTCACTTGTTCAAAAATTTTGTGATAATTTATCAATTCCTAACGTTGCTGCTTTTATTTATTTTTTATCTTTTTTATGTACATAACACATCCATGAATAATGTCTTGTGCATTTTAATCTAATTATATATATTTGTGCATGCGTGCGTGCATGTGGGGAGCTAGTGTCTGAGCAGAACTCTGAGTTGTTGGTAGATAAGTGGGAGAGGCCCAATTGTTTTTTTTTATTTTTTTAGAGAAAGGTTCTTGCATAAAATGCTCTTTATCTCCAATGATTCAGAAACAACTTGTAGACCCCCCCTACAAGCAGTGGTAAGTGCTTGCAGAGGCCTACAAGAAGCTAAACAGATACACTGCTGCCATCATCAGTGAGATAGCATGATGGCAGCAGTGTATCTGAGTGTTGGAATTTGGTGGTAGCCTCTGAGGGTTTTGGATATCAGTGTGATTCAGGCTGTGGTCTGCACATAGGTGGATGCAGAAATGCTATGCAGCCTGTGGTATATTTACTGCTTTCCCCTATGGGTTTCATTCAAAAATTTTATAATGTTTCATTGATTCCTGGTACCACCATTTCTATCTTTCATTTATTATATCATATAGGTTCAACCTAGAGATCACTCAAAGTTCTTAACAGAACACGGAGCCAATATAGATAAGGGGAGGCAAACTACTGCCCTCTTGATATATGCAGGAAAGGAGGAAGTTAAAAACTTGATTTACAACTTGCTACATTATGTGGGGGCCGAGGGGGGGAGAAATTAAAAAAAATCTCGATGAACGATAATAGGCGATATATATCGTCATCGTCTCCCTTGCCGTTTGGATTGCCGAGCGGTAACAATTAACGATGTGTGGAAGCAGTTGAGTCAGAGATAGATGCTTCGTTTACAAACAACACAACTGTTTATTAAACACGAAAGAAGCTTACAAGATTACTGCGATCTTGGAAGTTCTGCGGCGGCTGCGGCCTCTGGGTCTTCCTCTCCTTTCCAAGATAGTCCCATTTTGAAGTAGTGTCCCTTGTTCGCGAATGAACTATTTCATCACGTCTCGACGACTCCGGGACGATGCGGTCGACTTCCATTGATGGAAAGATGTCGATCCGAGGTCGGGAGATGGTGACGAAGATGGGTGTGAGACACACACACAACAACAGATCCGTCACTTGGAACTTTCGGGAGAAGAAGCCGTTGCATCCCCGAATTTCCGGGGTTTTATCTGTTTTCTCTCAGATTCCCCTTTCCGATTGGTCTCCCGTCGTCACCTGATGACAATTCAAAACCTTTCAGGGGCGCGGGAGAGATCAAAATCGAAGTTTAATTCGATCTCCAACCGGAAATGGTCGACGGACTTACATTCTTCTATTGTTTAAAAGTTAGCGTCGCGTTTTCATATCATAAAAATCTATTTCTAACTACTATATATTTTTTCTCTAAAACAATTATTTTAACACGAATTTTAGTGAGTGTTCGGACCTGTCCAGAGCCTCACAATTAATTAGAACAACGGCAAACACAGACTAATTCAAAATACTAGAGGTGATTGAGACTTTTACAGCAGAGAAGTGTGAGGTTCCAAAAATAGGTTGAAATTAAAAATCATAAAAGTTTATTAAAATGAAACTAGAAAAACTTCTATTGTTAAAACCGATCAAAGTCATATGAACAAAGACAAGGAAAAAAAAACTATTAATATCAAACACAATGCAATAGATGTAAATGGAATGTTACCAGTAGAAATGGACCTTTGACAATGTGCTCATATACAAGCAATTAGACCATAAAAATTTTGAAAAAGGAAAAGGTTAATTAATGATAAAAAAGGACATTGCGTCAAGTCCATTAAAATTCTAAAACATCATAGACTAGACAACAAAGAGGTAAATATGAGCGCAGGTTTCAAAGTTCCATCAGCACCTTTCGTCCAGATTTAACAGATGGTGTTGGGTAGATTTTCCAAAGTGGACCTTTCTTGTGACCCAAACAGGTATTGTCTTTCGCTTAGGGACAGACAAGGGACCAATCAGGAAGTGAGAAAAAGGGACGTGGAACCAATCAGAAGGACAAAAGAAAGAATGGAGATTGATATAATCCCCAATCTTCAAGAACACTCACTTTCCATAAACTATGCAAACTATGCACCTACACATGGTTAGTCAACACGAAAAAATGCGGTTTTCTGTCCATTGTGCCCAACCTGTAACCTGTGCCACTGCGGACTCAGACTGCCAATCGATAGTCTCCCCACCTGCCATTGCTTCGGGACCACCTTTGATCAATGAACAAGAAACAACTTTGATGCCCAGGATGTCAGAACAATGAATTGTTTAAAGAAACTATTTTTTTTTTCTAGTGTAAGTTTATTTCATGTAAAGTAAATGGTTTTTTTGGATACTTGTCATCTTTGTCTCCATTGCCACTACCCAGATAGGAAAGGATCCTAGACCATCACTGACACGAAATTAACTGATTTTCCCTAAAAGTCAGCTTACTTACAGAAGCAGGAATCAAGTATAAACTTTAAAGAGGAGAGATGTATTTCAAAAGTGTGGCAAGCCTTCTTTGAAACAATTATGAAAATGGTTTTAGGTCTTTTACACTTGACACATTCTATTGGTTGATTCTGGAAGATTTAAATTCAAATTTATGTGTGATCTCTTTTGCATTTGACATATTAGAACATTGAAACTTCAGAAGTTTTATCGGTTTGAAATTTTTCACCTGAAGCAGGTTCTTAGAAGTAGACCGAAAACTTTTGTTTTTCTGAAAAATCAGCTGGGTGAATATCAAGATAGTGAGTTTTTATAGTATGAAAAAGCAGATAGATACTTTGAACTTATGGAATCAATAAGGAGAAGCTTAAATTATTTCAAAATGACACTTATCTTTTTTCCAAACTATATGGTTAAGTTTTCTTGACTATTATTCATCCAACTTAGCTGAGACCACCACTGCAACTAGGCATGTGCAAACTAAACTAGTCTATTTGTAAAATAAGGATAACATTTTTTCTGATACAGAAGGGAATATTTGTGTAGGAGTGCTGTCTTTAGAAGAAGAAAAATACTTTTGAGTGACATATCACTTTCTTCCAATGAAAATTTATTTTTTTCTTTTAAAACTAGCAGTAATTTAGGAATTGATGGGACTTTCTTCTCTTCAACTTAGAAACCAAGGATTGTTCCTCCTAATCATGTAACAATCTGGAATGTCCTCCTTTGAACTCTTTATCGATGTAGTAAAATTTGGCTCATCTTCAGTGCCTGTATTCCAACAGATCATTTTTTTTTATTATTGACAATGACATCCCAGTAATTTGTGCACTTTATGTGCAAATAAGATTACAGGAGTATCATTGATTAATGGAGTAATAAGAACAGGAATGATAAAATCGCCATTTTTGACTTCTCTCTTACAGAATTGAATAATATATCAAGTCTGTTTTTGTTCCACTGTGAAAGGGTTTATGTAATATACCCTCCATGGTAAAATAAGAAAATACAAATAAATTAAAAAAAACAAAAGACGATGAAAAGACAAATCTCATACTAAATTCACTACTACTAATAAATAAGTATTTCAGCACAGCTTCTTTTCTACAAAATGCCAGTGACAAGCATGCCTAAGCTGGCTGAAATAGCTTGTTAAATCCAAATATAACCACCTAAGTTTTTTTTAAATTTTGATTGTATGTTAAATATTTATATATATCCAAGTATATGAAATATATGTTCATGAGCAATAGTTTTTTCTATAGCTTTCTTACTTAAATAATCTACATTTGATTATTATTGTATATTGTACTATTACTTGAAACATTAAAAATTATGGTTATCACAACTTATTAAGTATCAAATATTTATTTTTGTAGAGAGTACGTTTTCCTGATAAAGCATATTCACACTTCTTGGAATTATTAGGTAAAAAAGCGGATAGCCCAATAGTCCAGTTATTTAAAAGAAATTTTCCTTATTATAATATAACCACTCATGAGAAAAGAGGAACAGTTATACTTCATCATCCTGACAACATGAGTTTCTTACCAGAAGAATTAGTTGCAATGATTTTAAGACATGCACAAGAAATAGCAACTTCTGCAGCAGGTAATACATAAAATGTAAACTAAAATTTTCATAAAACTAAATTTATTTGTTATATAAATTTTATTAAACTTTAAATATTAATTTATATCTAATAATTAATTAGTTTGTATTGTTTAGAAAAGAACCAAACCCAATTTATTATTAATAGCCAAATCCTTTGCTGGTTTCCTGAGTTGAGACATGTGGAATGCTGGGACATAATGTCACAGCCTTTCCATACAGTTATATAGTTATATGATGGAAATTATATATAGTTATATGATGGAAATTAATACAGATCTGGAAGCAAAGATCATACAGAGGTTACTAATTATCTATAAACTGAACTATGTAGTAATTAATTTAATTGCAATTTGGCTATTCGTTTTGGATTATCAGTTTTAAATTTATATATTTCAGAAATTGTAATGCTGGAAAATCTATTAATTTAAAATTGTTCAATTGATGTAATAACAAAAATAAATGATGTAATAACAAAAATAAATGATATTTTACAAAAGTCTAATTTAGTATTTTTTAATTATTTTAAATCTCTTACATTGATGGTTTTTTTTTTTTTCCTTCTTCTTTTTAGGTCAGCCAGTTAAAGATGCTGTAATAACTGTGCCTCCTTATTTTAATCAAGCCGAGAGGCGTGCAGTTTTGCAAGCAGCTGATTTAGCTGGTATTAAAGTTCTTCAAATCATTAATTCTAATACAGCAGGTATTTATGAATTTTTACAGTGTTTTAATTTAGAATTGCTAATTTATGAAAATAAAACAAATAAAAAAAACTTCAGTAAATAAAAATGAAAAGGTTTGAAAAATATGCTTTCTAATAATAAATATCTTATGTAAAAGCAAAACTCTTATGAAAAAAATGTAGATTAATTAATTGAAAAATAAATTTTTATTTACTACATATAAATTAAAAAATACAGTTCTATAATCCAACATCATCAATACATATTTCCAGATTACAGATTTTTTATTATTATATATAACCATAAATTTTTGTTTTTATTAAATGTTTTTACAGTTGATTTTGTGAATTTATTCAATTACCATGCATGAATATAAGAAATGATGCTAACAATTTTTTGCATTTAAAACAATAATTTGTAAACAAATTTAATAGAGGCATCACAAACTTGATAGTCTACTTGATATACTTCATGTATAAATGTGTAAATGTAGAAAAAGTTATTCTCATTAAATATATATAAAATTAATGAATTTCTTGCTTTGAATGAAAAAAATCTGTTTTTAGAAAGTTTGAGTTGTAAATAGGTATAATTTTTTAGATTTCTCCAAATTATAATTTTTTATAAGTACAGGTAACCCCCGTATAACACGGTAGTTACGTTCCAAAAAATTGCCGTGTTATGCGAATCCGTGTTATACAAAACAAAGAACTAATACGAAAAGGAGGGTTAGGTTCCAAAAATTAAAAAACATGCTAGTATATTTTCATAATTAAGATAAATATCTTCATTAAAATTTTTTAAGTGATACATATTAATATAAATTAAACAATGTTTT